GCCTCTCCTTCTCCCTCTGTGTTCATACTCTCTCTCTCAAGTAAATAAATAAAATCTTTAAAAAAAAGAAAGGAAGGAAGGAAAAAGGAAAGAAAGAAAAAGAAAGAAAGAAAGAAAGAAAGAAAGAAAGAAAGAAAGAAAGAAAGAAAGAAAGAAAGAAAGAAGAAAGAAAGAAAGAAAGAAAAGAACAGAAAGCCACTGCACATCCGTCCAGGGACAGATGCAGGCTCAGAAAAGACCTGAGAAGACGCTAAGCTTTCTCTTCAGGCTGATCCACACCCAGAGTTATACATCAACAATTAAAAATATATATATTAAGGAAGCAATTCTATCTACATATCATCCAAAAGAAGTAAATACTTCAAAATAAATCTAACTAAGGAAGTGAAAGACTCCCATGGTATGCTAAAAACTACCAAACATTGCTGAAAGAAATTAAAGAAATCCTAAATAAATGGAAACAAATCCCATGTTCATGGATTGGAAGATTTTTTTTTTAAGATTTTCTTTACATATTTGACTGAGAGAGAGAGAGAGCACAAGCAGGGGGAGCGGCAGGCAGAGGGAGAAGCAGACTCCCTGCTGAGCAGGGAGCCCGATGTGGGACTCCATCCCAGGACCCTGGGATCATGATCTGAACCGAAGGCAGCCGCTTAACCGACTGAGCCAGGCACCCATGGATTGGAAGACTTAACCTTTTATGATGTCAAAACTATCCAAAGCAATCTTTCAGTTCATCACAATCCCTTAAAAAAAAAAATTCTAAAAGCCATTTCACAAAGATGGAAAAGCTGATTCTCAAATTTATATGGAATTGCGATTGACCCTGAATAGCCAAAACAATCTTGAAAAAGAATTAATTTGGAAGACTCACACGTTCCAACTTTGAAAGGCAGTACAAAGCTACAGTAATTGAAACATTATGGCACTGGCCTAAGGACAGACATATGGATCAGTAAAATAAAATAGACCAGAAATAAACCCTCACACATATGGTCACAGTTGATTTTCAGCAAGGGCACCATGACCATTCAATAAGGAAAGGATAGTCTTTTCAACAACAGATGCTGGGAAAACAGGACATCCACATGCAAAAAGCCCCAAATATGTAAAAATTAACTCAAAATAGATCAAAGACCCAACACTAAGGCAAAACTACAAAATTCTTAGAACAAAACATTGGGGAAAGTCTTCATAACACTGGATTTGGCAATTGTTTCATGGATATGACACCAAAAGCACAGACAACAAGAGGAAATAGATAAATTAGACTTCATCAAAATTAAGACCTTTTGTGCATCAAAATATATTATCAAGAAAATGAAAAGACAAACCCACAGCTAACATCATACTCAATAGTAAAAAGCTAAAAGCTTTTCCTCTAAGATCAGGAACAAGACAAGGATGACCACTCTTACCACTTTTATTCAACATAGTACAGGAAGCCCTAGCCACAACAATCAGACGAGAGAAAGAAATAAAAGGCATTCAAACTGGTACAGAAGCAGTAAAACTGTCATTATTTGCAGATGACATGACACTATATATGGAAAACCCTCGGGACTCTATCAAAAACTATTAGAACTAATAAATTCAGTAGAGTTGCAGGATACAAAATTACTATACAGAAATCTGTTGTGTTTCTATTCACTATAACAAACACAAAGAGGGAAACCATCAACAAAATGAAAAGGCAACTTACTGCATGGGAGAAGGTATTTGCAAATGATATATCCAATAAGAGGTTAATATCCAAAATACATAAAGAGCTCGTACAACTCAACACCAAAAAAAAAAAATCCAATTTAAAAACGGGCAGAGCACCTGAATAGACATTTTTCCAAAGGAGACATACAGACGGTCAATAGACACATGAAAAGATGCTCATCAGGGAAATGCAAATAAAAACTACAAAGAGATATCACCTCACATCTGTTAGAATGGTCAATATCAAAAAGACAAGAAAAGCTCATGCACTGCTGGTGGGAATATAAACTGGTGCAGCCACTATGGAAAAACAATATAGAGGTTTCTCAAACAATTAAAAATAGAAATACCATATGATCCAGCAATTCCACTTCTGGATATTTACCTGAAGAAAACAAAAGCACTAGTTCAAGAAGATATATGCGCCCTTATGTTCATTGCAGCATTATTTACAGCTGCCAAGATATGGAAGCAACCTAAGTGTCCGTCAATAAATGGATGGATAAAGAAGATGTGGTATATATATATATACACATATATATATATGAATACACACACACACAATGGAATATTACTCAGCCATAAAAAAGAAGGAAATCTTTGCCATTTTCAGCAACATGGATGGGCCTAGAGGGTATTACATTGAGTCAAGTAAGTCAGACGGAAAAATAAGTACCATATGATTTCACTTATATGTGGAACCTAAAAAACAAAAAAAAACAAAGCTGTCTTCCACAGCGGCTGGACCACCTTACAAAAACAAATGAACGAGCAAAACAAAACAGAAACAGACTCATAAATACAGGAAACAAACTGGTGGTCACCAGAGGGGAAGTGTGGGGGGGGGTGAGCAAAATAGGGGAAGGGGATTAAGAAGTAAAAATTTCCTGTTATAAAATAACTAAGTCATGAGGATGAAAAGTACAGCATAGAGAATATAGACAATAATATAATAACTTTGTAAAGTGACAGATGGGAGCTACACTTAACCATGGTGAGCATTCATAATCTATAAAAATGTCAAATCACTATGTTGTACACCTGAAACTAATATAGTATTGTATGTCAACTATAATTAAAAAATAAATACTTTTTAAATAATGAAAAAGAAAACGAAAAGACAACCATAGAGTGGGAAAAAATGTTTTCAAATCATGTATCTGGGAAGGGATTCATACTCAGTATATAAAGAACTTCTGAAGCTTAACAACAACAAAACACCACAAATACGTCGATGCAACATGAGCAAACAAGTAAATATGTCTCCAAGGAAAATATATAAATGATCCATAAGCCCATGAAAAGATGCTCAACATCATTAATCCTTATGAAAATGTAAATCAAAACCACATGGAGATACCACTTCATACCTACTAGGATGGCTGTAATAAACATTTTTAAACGAAAGAAAACCCACACACAGACAATAACAAGTATTGGTGAGGATGTGGAGAGATTGGAACCCTGGAGCACTGCTGATGGAAATGTAAAGTGGTCCAGACACTGTGGAAAACAGCTTAGAGGCTCAAAGAATCGAAGGTAGAAAACCACTTGACCCAGCAATTCCACTCCTAAAGTGAGGCTCCTCCGAGCCAAGCAATGGGCAGGGGTATCTGAAGTTGCGGATACTAGTTCATTCTTTTGACCCAGTTAGTAAATAACCACTGTTCCGAGCCCCTTCAAGGGCCCTCCTCCACCACCTGCTGCCCTAGCCAGCCCACCTCTCCCTAACTCCCTGCCCACCAAGACCTCGTAAATCAGGGACCTGATGCCAATGGGTCCTTCAGCAACGTACTCCAGCCTTCCGGGGCGATTGTTCTCATCAGGAGGTACAGAGCAAAATGAAAGCAAAGAAACTACTGTGGGGTTTTATTCTAATTTTAGCAGGCGAAAGTTCATTTTAAATTTGCATTCCAGCTCCCCACCCCTTCCTTTCTGTACCCTTTCTGCTCTCCAAATTCTCTAGAAAAATCTACACTGCCCTCTCGTGGCAGAATCTTGCTATTGCACGTCCCCTTAAGCACTATCTTGTACTCTTTGCTCTGAATTCATCCTGTTGTCCATCCTGGAAAAATAGAACTCTCTTCTCAACCTCTAACCAAATAGCTCAATATCAGGGCTAGAAGTGCCATTATGTCCTTCTAGGTAAGAATGAAATAACATAAGGAATTGGTGCATGAGATGGTTTTCCTGACCCAGACAGAAAAGTCTTCGTTCAAATTGTGAGGGAGCCCTGAGTCTTTGACTCTATCTTACCCACTCTCTGAGCTGTCCATTTTCCTAGGATCTTGGAATCTTCCCTGAGTTTAGGGTTCCCCAAGGACAAGGTATCCCTGACCTCTGGATATCCCCCTTAGGCTGAAACGCTCTGAAGACTCATGCAGTGAGTGAGGGGGTATCTGAAGTGTCAGAGCAGTGAGATGGCTTCTGGAAACTCCTCTGGACAGCCTCCACCACAGCACAGAGCCTGTTGGCTTCCATGGCTTGCCCTACGGATTCTTCACTCTGAGTACTTCCCGAAAGGAGAATCTCACTGGTTACTTGAACAGAGAAGAAAGGGCTGAGAATTAAGGTGAGTATAACCACAGAAGACAGTTGTTTTCTAAGGGGAGACGTGAAGTAGATTATATTAAGTAGACGCCACCGGGGGGCTTCATCCCTGTAGTGTCCCAAGTATTTTCTAGCAAAGGTTAATGCAGAGCATCTGACCATTGGTCTGGAGATCTTGTGTGGTAGAGAAGTGGCTCCACACCAGAGGTGTCGTAACAAGGGCCCTCTTTACCAGGTGGGAGCTCTCTTTGTGAAATATGTAGTAGATAGAAGAACCAAACACTTCGTATATTCGTGAGGTGTCGCCTACAGAGCTCAGGGTGGGTCTTCTCAGACTGATAACCATAACTAAGACGGCAACATAGCTCTGGACCCAGGAAATGATGTTTACATAGAGCATCTGCCAGGGACAAGCAAGTATCTGGAGCAGGGATAACAGTGTCTGGAGCTAACCTGTCTCCCCTGCCATATGAAGAGGACAGCAGCCTCCATAAACAAAAGAACTTCATGTCCCAAATCCTGAAAGTTAAAATCCTGAGTAACTAAGAAATCTTTAATCTGTTTCTCCCCAGCACAAATATTAAGAACACTTTATAAATCCTAAATGTTTTCCTGGACAAATACTGTCACTTCTTTCAAATGTGTGCTATTGGTATTCTTTCCATATGGCCTTTTGGAAGAGTGTTAACTTGAACCACAGTGTTCCATTGATCTGCCCTGTGCTAAGGGCCACTAGGTCTTACCTTCTGCACCTGCATGGCATGAAGCTTTTCCCGGACAGTTAACTTCAGAGCAATCCATGGAGGGGTGAACAGGTTGCATTCATGTTAGTATTTTCAAAAAATAAAAAAGTAAAAAACAACTTTATACAAATATAAACTGAACATGTACCAGTGGTTTTATTCAATTCATTAATTAACGAGGGACCCAGAAAGATATTAAAACTGGTTCAAAGGAGATTTGGAAGAAGTGAGATTTATGTCAGGCGAGTCAAAGGAATGCTGAAATGAATTTGTTAATATGTACAAAACTGGTTACTATCCTACTGGGCAAGAAATTATCTGAGGTCATCTTTTCTACCAGACAGGAAACAATTGTACCTCGCCCAGACAAAATTCATTTTGCATTACTATGGTCAAGATTCATTTACAAAACTTTCCGATAAGAATCATGTATGTTATTATCAGTTTTCTGCCAGTTAACCTACCTCTTACAGTTATAAAATACCTGGGGCAATAAAAGTTCAACCAAAGTTGCATTACCAGCACTGCACAAAAAGAATAACCAGCGATCTCGTCATTTTCTCCACACTGTATGAAATAGGATGTGTACATTTGATGTGGTAAGGAACTGGGGCATGATGGTCCCCAGCCTCTGGCTGTGAGCATTTCCCTCCTCCTTTGTTCAGATAAATGCCAAACTCATTTATGAATTCTGAGCCCACGGCTGGTTTTCCCCAACGACATTGTCTTTGCATCAGGTATGTTTATGCTAGTTGTGGGGCTACTGAGGTCCCACTGAGCCAGGCTGGCATCCCAGAGGGCTCACTATGGGATAACAAAGAAGAGCACATGCAGCTGGCCTTTCTGGAGACACATGAGGGTGGGCGGGGAGCAAACTTGTTCTATAAAGGACCAGATAGTAAACATTTTAGGCTTGACAGACTCAGAAGGTATCTGCACCAACTACTCAGTCACTGTAGCAAAAAAGCATCATAGACAGCACATAACAAATCATGTGGCTGTGTTTGGGTGCCTGGGTGACTCAGTCTTTGGAGTGTCCAACTCTTGATTTCAGCTCAGGTCATGTTCTCAGAGTCCTGGGATCGAGTCCTGCATTGGGCCCTGTGTTCAGTGGGGAGTCTGCTTGAGGATTCTCTCTCTTCCTCTCCCTCTGCTCCTCCCTCCACTAACACACACTCTCTCTCTCTCTCTCTCTTTAAAATAAAAATAAATAAATCTTTTTAAAAAATCATGTGGCTAAGTTTCAATAAAACTTTCAAAACAGGCAGTGGGCTGGATTTGGCACATGGGCCATCGTTGGTCAATCCCTGCTGTGTTAGTCTGCTCAGGCAGCCATAACAAAATACCATCAACTAGGTGGCTTAGTCAACAGGTTTTATTTTCTCACAGTCTTGGAGGCTGGATGTCCATGATCAAGTTGGCAGTAAATTTGGTTTCTGGTGAGAGCTCTCTTCCTGGCTTATAGATGGCCACCTTCTTACTGTGTCTTTACATGGCCTTTCCTGTGTACAGGCATGGAGATAGAGAGAGAAATCTCTACTGTCTCTTCCTATTCTTAAAAGGCCACCAGCCCTATCAAGTTTAGGCCCCACCTTTATGACTTCATTTAACCTTTATTGCCTCCTTTGGGCCCTGTCTCCAAAGACAGTCACATTGGGGATTAGGGCTTCAACATACCAGTTCAGTCCATAACCCTGGTATAGGGAATATAAGGGCCTTCATTCATTCATTTAGTAAATATTACTTGTGTTCGCAAGTAAGCCATCCCCAGACAGATCCAATCCCTGCCTTTGCCAAGCTCTGGTGTGGCAGAGGAAGCACAGTTTAAACAAGGAATTTTAATAAAATGCAAAGACAGAGTTAGCAGGCCAAACATAGTCCAATGAGAAAATGACATTTAAGGTGGAACACAAATGTTCATTAAGATGCTGAGTTTGAAGTGCTGGTGATATATCCAAGCAGAGATATCAAATCTACCCAGCAGGGTGGGTAGATATATTGAGTTGAGAACTCAGAAAGCAGGTCTAGGCTGCAGACATTTGGAAGTCATTGAAACCATGGGAGCGGTTGAGGTTGCCTAGAAGAGCAAGTGGCACAAGACGAGCAGTGTAAGTGTCTACACTAGTGGTTCTCAAACTTGAGCAAGCATCAGAGTTACCTAGAGGGATTCTTCTTTTTTTTTTTTAAGATTTTATTTATTTATTTGACAGAGAGGGAACACAAGCAGGGGGAGTGGCAGAGGGAGAAGGAGGCTTCTCACAAAGCAGGGAGCTTGATGTGGGGCTCGATCCCAGGACCCTGGGATCATGACCTGAGCTGAAGGCAGACGCTTAACCACTGAGCCACCCAGGCGCCCCACCTAGAGAGATTCTTAAAACACAGACTGCTAGGTCCTACCCACAGAGGTTCGGGCTCAGTAGGCCAGGGGTGGGGCCAAAAATTTGCATCTCTAACAAGTCCTCAAAAAAGAAGGTATGTCTGGAATATAGTTTGATTTTAGAGAAAGAGCTTTCAATTATAAACTGAACATAACCAGGAAAGGTAGCTTTTTGCACCTTTCAGAGAAATTAAAACATCTAAGAAAAGTCCAAGATCTGACACTTTGGCTATTGAGTCAAGAAATAAATCTAGACTTAAAAAAATCACCACCACAATCACACCACCACCACTGACACCACCAACACCAACACCACCCCCAACACCATCACTTATCACCACCACCACCACCACCA